AAGCCGATAAGGAACGTTTTAAGGAACGCATAAAGTGATTGAAAATACATATCAATCACCTCTTACAATATCATTGCTTTCCTTGCTCTTAATGTTAATACCTCTAATCAAATCACTTTGAGTATAAGCAGAAAGCATATTCTGCAAGGTTTTACTTCCAAAGAATCCCAGATTTTTATTACTGGCCATAAGAGCAGTAAAATTCTTTATAAAAGAATGAACATGCTCCAGTTCCCATTTATCAATAAAAAACTGCAGCTTAAAAAGCATAGCCTGTTGAACGGGGTCATAAGTCGGAATAATATCATAAATTGCTTGAATAGGATTATCACCCTCCATATTTGTGGAGAAAGAATCCATCATTTTCTGCATATCAAACTCAGACATAGTCAACCTCCTAACGAAAGAACCTTAAAGAAAATAACAGTTACCATTATTAGCATACATACACAGATATACTTTAAGGAATTATCTTTCTTAAAGAATCCAGAAAAAAGAAGATTTTCCATTTTCTGTTTATCACGAACAAACTCCAAATCTGTATCATCAACATTAACAACAAAATCAGCACCAACAACGTTAAACTCATCAACATCAAAATGAGCATTCAACTTTTTATTAATATCTGCAACAGACTTGCCAAAAGTCACACCAGAACGTTTAATAACATAAAACATACTTTTCCTCCTTAAATAACCTCAAAGCCTTTTATAAAAGACATTACTCGTTTTAAGCAACCACACAATAAAATTATCATCGTAAAGCCAATAACCGTACCGAAAACTGCATAATAATTAACCGGAATCATTTATATACCTCCTCTTTTTATATGCATCAAATCTTTCCAGAATTTAGTGGGTGTATCATTTGGTGTAACCCTAAATAATCTTGCGATATTTGTTACAATCCAGACACCTAAATCAAACAGGAGCAAAATCAAAAATGTGAAAACAACAATTTTATAAAGCATCCTTTTCCTCCTTTTTTAGTCTTTTAATAAGACGAATCAAATAAATTGCCAAGGCAAAAAGACCAAGACAAATCACAAAATAAAAAAGCACTACATAAAGAATTATAAAAATAGATACAATAGTCATGATTTCCTCCGTAAAAAGATTGATGCAATAAGTAAAGCAACATTAAAACCACATAACAAACGGACTTCATAAAGGTTATTATTAAAATCTATATCCAATTTTTGGAGAAGTGCATTTTGTTGTGGTTAAATCACCAAGAGGAGGCTCAACCGGTGGCTCCTCAATAGCATTTACTGTAATATATACCGTTGTTGTTTTATCCTCATAAAATACCGTAATAGGATAAGAACCAACAACATTCATATGCACTGCACTTATATTAACCGTATAATCTGAAAGAACAGTTTCCGAACCATCCGACCAAATTCCAGTAACAACAAAATCATTTGTGTTAAGTGTATCACCAACATAAAAATTTGTTTTACCCTTTACAGCAGATATTGAAGTTAATGTAACAGGAATACTTTCATACACAATAGGAATTGTTTTTGTGATTCCCTCATAAGTTACACTTATAGAGTAAGTACCAGCTACATTAATATTTACACTTGAATAATCAACAGTAAAATTTGTCACGTTTTTCAGATGATGAATCACTATAAAGTGCATCAACTGAAATATCATTTATTAAAAATTCCTCACCTACAAAATAGGTTATTTTTGTCTTATTAACTGAAATATCAGTTAATGTTTTTGTTAGACCAGAGTCAGCATAATAATAAACATAAATAGCATGACAAACCAAACCATTATCACGTTGACCATCAAACAAAAATCCATCAACAGACGGAGTAAAACCAGCTAAATAATCAGAAGATGTTATACGTAAATTAAATCGAGAAGATTCAAGTGATGTGAAAAACCAAAAGTCCGAGGAACCAGATTCAATGTAATAAGTTACACCAGCCGAAACAGGAACATAAGCAGAAGTTCTATCAGAAGAAACTTGTCTAAAACCAGTAGATGAAATATAAAAACCTTGGCTACAATTAGTAGTTAAATAAATTTTAACAGTTTCAGCATTTGCACCAATTTTATATAAAAGCATTACAAGGGAAAACCCTATAATAGCCCAGATTAAAAAGCCTATTTTATTTTTAATCTTTTTAATTTTCATAAAACCTCCATAAATCTAATGCCATATATAATGGATAAAATCATTATTATGGCAATTAAAGCAAAAATTAAAATATAATAATCATTATTTTTCAAATTATCACCTCCATAGTATGGAATAAGGGATAGCATCACTATACTATCCCTCTACCATATAACTAATGAACGGTTAGGATGTGCAGCCGATTAGCACACCGAAATGATTAAAGTCTACCATTAAAGGCATTCTTTAACATATAAATGATTGTAAATCCGAGTGCAAAGCCGGCACTAATATATACAACAGGCATAAGGCTTGAAGTAATAGTATTAGTATACTGGAACATCTGAGATGCATCGAATTCTAAATCAAGTGTGGGAGCACTTGAAGTAGCAATAAGATTATAAATCATATCGTTTACCTCCTTTATTTGATAATTAATATATAACATATTATTAATTAATATGTCAACTACCAAAGAAATGTAATAATTTTTTCAATCCTCTTGTATCATTTTGAATATGCAAATCCTTATTAATAAGAATCGACTTCATATAATCAATTATATCAATAATTCTTCTAATAATCTGGAATACAAGAAAAGCCTCACCAACAATTAAAATGCAATACATTTCAGTATAAATAACATCACCAACAACATATCGAACCATACCGAAAATATTATTTAAGGGAAATGATATACTATCTGCATCCATTGTATCAACTCTAATAACATTGCTACGAATACCATCGCGAATAGACGATGAAACTCTATCAATGGAATCAGACACAGCTAATATATTATTGATAAAATAACGGATATAAGAAACAAGTCTTTTAATGGCAATAATAAATTTATTTGCCATAGAAGTTAACCAAGTAATAAGATTAAGACTTCCAGAAGTATCAAAATCCGATAACAACAAAAGAAACTTATACATTATCATTCTCCTTTCATTTTAATATTGCCAATCAAACGTTTACCCAGTTTAATCATGGCACCAATAAAGACAACATTAAACACAATTACACAAAAATCATATAATGTAAAATGAACATTGCCAAAGGTAAACACATAAAACGGTTCTACAATATTACCGTTTTCCTCGTATGGTATACCTTGAAACCATTGTAATCCTTTATTAAAATCGTATGACGGTGTAGGAACTGAAGCTACGCTAAACAACGTAGCAACCCATACACCTAAATCAATTACGATTCTAAATATAGTCAAAACAATAACCAAAAGAATAAGAGCAACAACAAAAGGTAGTAAAACATCTTTCCAACCTAACAGAGTAGAAGTTAATGAACCCTCAACTTGTGAACCATTTTCTGCTAAAGGATTATAAGCAGAAACGGATTCATTATTCATATTAGATAAATCAGCTTGACTATATTCAACACCTTGAATAGTACCACCAGTAGTTAATAAAGCAATGATAGAACGCAAACAAATCATTACCAGTTCCAAGTTTTTCATCAATCAAACCGAGTTTTTCATTGATTTCTCTTAATGAATCATTATCAAATTCACCACTTGAAACAGCAACATCGTAAAAAGTCAAGTTACGGAAATTAAAGTTTTTTCCATCTTGCCATTGATAACCATTCCAAACTGCATAATTCAAAGGCAACCATACAGAACCATCATAAATAGCAGCACTTGAACCAACACCATTAGAATTCAAGTCAATATATACATTACCTAACTGAGGATATGTATATTGAGCACCACCAATACGGACATCGGTTATATTTATATTTGTTTGGTATGCCATATCACCAAAATTATAATCTATTCCTTGAGGGGCAACCCATATATGACCAGCATCAAACTTTTGTAATGGAACGGAGAATGTACCATTATACAAAACACCTTTTGTCAAACGCATTTCATCAATAATACATTCTTTCATTTCAACACTATAAGTTGAAGATGCAGAAGGCCGATAATACTTACTTGCATACTCAGTACCATCAGAAATAATATTATGTGCAGAATCAATAAGAACATTAACAATATTAGTTCCTAAATCAAAATATTTTTTATCACGAGTAGAACCAGTAGAAGAAACATAAGAAAATGTTTTTGTATTATCAATAGAATGACCAGCAGCCACATTATCAGTAAAACCAAAATAAACATTATTATTATAAAGTTCAGGTTCAGAATGAATAGGATAATATTTATCAGTACTCATATAAAAAGAATTACCACTATATTCATAAGCATTAACTTCATTACGAATAGTATAACCATAATATAAACTAGGATTACCACTAAATGTCAAATAAGGGAGAACGAGGTTGTTCAACACCATCTATAAAAACTCTAACCTTTTGATTTCGTTGTAGATCAGAAACTCCTAAAGACTTATCATACACATAAGCTAAATGATGCCAAGCATAAGTAGAACCTAATTTATCATATGTTCCATTATGTAACATATTCCAAAACCAAAATTCAAGAGTATATGAATCCTCATCAAAGCCAGTAATAGTCATACAGGCATCATTTTGTTCTGGAGAAGATTGAACATCAGTTTTAATTCCACCATCATAACGCGAATTGACAAACGATGAAGAACCATAATTTAATGAAATACCATTATTCAATTCATTATTATAATTGCCATCAAGATGCCACAAACCAAGTAAATCAGAAGTATCATCCAAACGAGTATAATAATAATTATTATGATTAAAATAAATACCAAGCAAATCATCAACGGTCAAATTCCAAGAAGGAGTATCATTAACCTCAAAATAATACGAATAATAACGATTATCATTTACATCATACTTATTAATAATATAGTAATTCTGATTAGTAATATTATTTTCGGTTATGTAATAATAATTATCATCATCATAGAACGTATACTGATTATAAGTACGATAATCATAAGTACGATAATCATTATATACAGGATTATAAGAATACGTTTCTTAAATCATATGTAGTATTATAATCCTTTTTAACCATCTGATATGTATTATTCAAAGTAGTATTATACGTTTTCTGATTATATGTATAAGTACGCATATCAACAGAAGTAGTATTACTTGACTCATTATAATAATTAACAGCCGGAGTCTGCACGGGGTCCTCTTTTTTAACCAAAGAGTTATTACCATCCAACCAAGGGTTAGAATCTGCATTATCAATTAAATCACGAATAGCACCAGCACCATCATAAATAAATTGTTGTAATCCATCTGCCAAATCTTGGGACCAGCCATATCTATCAATATAATATGAATTACTCAACATAGCATATGGAACGATTGAATTAATTGTTATCATTACAGACAACAACAAAGCATAGATTTTCATTTTTACCTCCAAGAAAATTAAAAGGGAAATGCAATGCACTTCCCTTATTTAATTATTTATTCAATTGTTTCAATTTCGGAATCTTCAGTAAAGACTTCCTTAAACTCATCAGATGCATTATTAAACTGTTCAACAACAGATTTTGCAATTGCATCTGCTTGCTTTTTCTGTTCGGCAGCTTTCCTTTTCTGTATCATTTTACCATTAATATAATCAACAACCAAGAAAAGAATAACACCAGCAACAATCAATAACCAATTCATTATTTACCTCCTAAATAATAGGCTTTACTTCAACAGGGAAAGAAATAGAATTATACTTGAATGAAACAGAACATTCGATTTCTTTACCAATCAATGGTGTGGTACAAGCATCATAAAAATCCTTGTTACAAAAATAAGTTCCAACTGCAAGACCTTCAACACGTTCATTCTGGTATGCAATACCAACAGTATAAAGTTCCTTACCTTCTTTAGACTTAAAATTTGATTTTCCCATTAATTTTGCTTTCATTTAATTTTCCTCCTTAAAATGTGAATGGGTTAATTAAGTTAATTAATATATATCATATAAATTAATTAATTGCAATAGGCTTTTTAATATTATTTTCAAAACCCTAACCAATCATCCAAATAATGACCATAATATAAATAAATTAAAACAAGAATTGCAAAAAAAACAAATCAAAGCTAATATTTTTGTAAACATTATCATCCTCCTAATATTTTATATAAACAGCCAAACATAAAACAATAAAAGAAAACAAAAGAAAATATCCCATAAAACCTCCTATTTATTTACAAACTTATCAAAAAAATCAAACTGATTAAATGGTGAAGATTTAATAAATTCAACATTTTCCAGTTTCTTTAATGTTTCTAATTCCTTGCGTAATTTCTTATTTTCATCAACCAAAATTACATTCAGATCTGAAACATCCCTATCCTTAAGTTTAGCAACTTTTCGAGCATTCTCAAAAAGTTCCAGACGGTGACGGTTTGAAGTGATATAAGAAGTAACAACATAGTTATTATCCATAATATATTTTCTTATATCCTTATCAAATCCATCTTGAATAATACACTCAAGCACTTCACTATATTCAGTAAAATTTGAAAGAAATGAAATTACTTTAGGTAAAATATCAACTGGAGCAGATACAGGCTTAAAGGATGACATAGATAAATCAAAATTATGTTCATCACAAAACTCATAAAATGAATCAGATGCATTTATATCAGCTTTCCAATATTGAGCCTTTTTAGGCAAATACCAATTTGTTTTAACATCCCAGTGATACAAAATAATGATAATATCCAACAAAATCATACACATATTCAACATAAACAGAAAGTTTCTTTTCGAGTAAACTTTTTAATCCAGTAATAGACGGGAATAGTATATGACAATGTTTTTTTTTTAGTTTTGCCAGATGAATCAAAATCCCTTGTATGCCATGGTGACATAGCATAAGGATAAATAGAAAAAACATCATAAAACTTTTTAAATTTATCCTTATCAGAATCAGATTCATCATATAAGACAATAGCAAAACCTTGAAAATTTTTTCTTGACATAATAAACAAATCCTAACACTTTGTTGGTAGATGGTACAATGTACTTTGTACCTTGGGGGGTCGCAGTACCCCCCCCAAGGTTAATGCAACTTTTCAATTAAAATATTACGAAACACATCAAAATTGCAAATGTTTTCCCAAAAATAGCATGACAACTGAGGGCAGTTCAAAATAGAATCAAACTCATTTATAGAGTTAGGAACAGAAAGATTATTCTTAACGAAATAATCTGCAATCTTATGATAAATAGCAAGGAAACGTGCAGCGCATTCAGAATAATAAATACAATCCTTGCAGAATCCATATCCACGATATGATATTCTTAACTTACAAACAGACAGAAAATCCCAATCAAGAGAGGGAATAATAGAATTAATAGTTCTCATATAGAACCTCCTTTAATATTTGATAATATAAATATAAAGGATAACAACATAAAAAAAAATAGTAATATTTACCAAAATATAAAAGATTATTTTGTTTATTGTGCCGAGTACCGTTGCAAAACACGATGCGTGATACCCAGTAAATATATTTTTTTTGAGGAAGGGGTAGTTTTACACAACCCACTATGTTATGAAATGGTTTAGCCTTAGAGGACATACCCACTACACACAGAAGAATAGACGTAGCACACGCAGACAGGAGATAACAAGAGAGAGAGAGAGAGAGAGAGAGAGAATAGACCACTACTGTACTAAGGGCGGGACTCCCCGCATATAGACATTCTAAACCACTACGCCGAGGGGGATTCCCTCGGAACACCCCAAAACCATAGTAAACAAAGCAATAAGCCGATTTTCTGCCGATAATTCATAGGCTACTCGCAAACGATTGTATCAATCCAGTTTCCGGAAACGTGGCAATGTGAAACGCACAAAAAAAGCCAAGGGAATTTCTGCAGCCACCTAAAAAGAAAGATGCTCTGGTGAACTGAAGTTTCACCAGAGCACAACAAAGAAAAATCAGTATTTACTTTTTAGAGAAATAATCTGCAGACAAATCAATCCCATAAAGATTTTTATAGAATTCCCTTAACTTTGTTTGAAAGCTTGACATGTCCCAATTAAAAAACAAGGGAATGAAGTTTGTATCATAGTGAATACGTTCGAACAATGTTGGACACATTTTTACACGATAATCATGTACCGAAACTGTATTTGGATCTACAACACGATAAAATATATTCTTATCACGTTTTTTAACCAAAACAATAAGATTGCACTGATTCCTTATGCGATTATAAACCATTGAATCGTCAATGGATGTGTACAAAAGCAAAGCATTTTGCTTACCAATAGTATTGATGAATATCGAAATATCTTTAAGACTTCTAAAATCGTTTGAATCGCAACCATTATAAATCTCATCTAAAAGAATTATCTTTGGATCTAAATCAAGTGGTAATTCCTCAACAGAATTAACAAAAATAACATCCATATCATTATTTGGCTTAACAAAAAGATTAGAATAAACCCTTAACTTTTTACCAGTTTGCCGAAAATATTCATCATATATATTTTGAGCAATGATATAAGAAAGAAGTGTTTTACCACTTCTTTGTTGTCCGTAAATGCCTATAATACCTCCAGCCATTAGAAATGTTTCCTTTCCTCAATATAAGCAACAATACGTCTACCTACAACATAATAGTGCAATACAGAAAGACCAGTATCAATAGTTTTAATCTTATAATCCTTATATCCAGCAATCAATTCATAAAATTCGTTTGGAGTTAATCGTATATCATCCAATTCCTCATTAACAAGATAAAACCAATAATCAATCTTCATTATTTCCTCCTTTAAACAAAAACAAATCAATAATAAATATCGCAGGTGATGCAGCTATAAAGCCGATAAGGAACGTTTTAAGGAACGCATAAAGTGATTGAAAATACATATCAATCACCTCTTACAATATCATTGCTTTCCTTGCTCTTAATGTTAATACCTCTAATCAAATCACTTTGAGTATAAGCAGAAAGCATATTCTGCAAGGTTTTACTTCCAAAGAATCCCAGATTTTTATTACTGGCCATAAGAGCAGTAAAATTCTTTATAAAAGAATGAACATGCTCCAGTTCCCATTTATCAATAAAAAACTGCAGCTTAAAAAGCATAGCCTGTTGAACGGGGTCATAAGTCGGAATAATATCATAAATTGCTTGAATAGGATTATCACCCTCCATATTTGTGGAGAAAGAATCCATCATTTTCTGCATATCAAACTCAGACATAGTCAACCTCCTAACGAAAGAACCTTAAAGAAAATAACAGTTACCATTATTAGCATACATACACAGATATACTTTAAGGAATTATCTTTCTTAAAGAATCCAGAAAAAAGAAGATTTTCCATTTTCTGTTTATCACGAACAAACTCCAAATCTGTATCATCAACATTA